AAAAAAAAAAAAAAAGAAAAGAAAAGAAAATGGAATTCTAGCAAGTCCTTAACTAGAAACAACACATACCAAGGAAAATCTGGATGAATATTTGACCAGTGTGTTTGTCTCTGCAGAGTGCAGCACATCGTGGGGAATCTCTTCATGCAGCTCATGTTGGGAATTCCCCTGGAAATGGTCCACAAAGGCCTCCGGGTGGGGCTGGTGTACCTGGCAGGAGTGATTGCAGGTCAGTGTTCCGAGGGTGACATGGAAGCAACATTTCTGGGCTCTTAGGATTAAAGCAAAGGGAGTTGACATTCATAGTCGTCTTGAGTCGAGGTTAATTGTACTCTTAATATGTGCTAGGGAATGCATTGAGCACTAGAGAGAATTTGAGAACACAGATTAGAGAGAATCTAAGCTCATGAAGACAAGTCACTCATTGCACCTATCCTCAGATACTACACTCAGGGTTTTGTGCAATTGGAAACTGCAAGTAATTTGGTGCACAGGATACGTGCATTGAGGAAAGGCGCAAAACCAGATCATGAAGCCCTTTATGTGTCAAACTAACAATCTGGGGAAGTGATATGATCCAGTTTGAAGTTAAGAGAGACAAGTTTGGGCCAGGGATATAGCTCAGTAGTAGCATGTGTGCATTACATGTGTGAGGCCCTGAGTGGAGAGCAGGAAGCTGTCAAGATCCACATTAAAAGAGAACTGACAAGGTTTGGTGACATAGCTTCCCATCCAACTTCCCTCTTACTATTTTGGATCCTGTTTTTACACCTTCTCCTCTTGTCTCTAAACATAATTCTTTTTTCCTGCCTTGGAAAGCCTTTTGTGATGATCAGACCCTGTCTGGCTCCAAGAGCTACATCTATGTTTGTCCCATAGCTTGAGTTCAACCTGTGGACTCAGCCCTGTCCCAGTTACAAAGCCAAGGAAGAACGTGAATAACCTGTTCACATCCTCTGCCTATTTTTGCAATAGCTTCTTGGCAGGAATCTCCTTGCCCATTCCAGTTTATCCTACACATGCTGTTTGGATCATTTCCCCTAAACATAGATTAGCTCATGTTATGTATACCTATTAAGAAATTAACAGTGGCCAAAAGAAAGCCCAAACATGCACGGATGTTCTTCATTACCCTCCATTACTTGACCTCATTGCTTCACTTTGTTTGCTTTTCTTCTCTACCTAATTCCTTCATCTGTGATATAATTCTAGTTCCCTTATCCTTGCCTCTGGCAAAATGTGCCATGCACCAGCTGAGGCAGCGCCACCAGACAGCTTGTTAAAACGCCGTATGTTGGCCCCAGATCAGATCTGTCAATCAGAATGTTCATTTCAACAAACTCACAGTGACTCTCACGCACATTAAAGACTGAGGTGTGGTGGTCTGCATTGCAGCCCAATGTCCCCCAATCTGACTGATGGTCAGGATCACCTGGAGAATCCATGACAACCAAGGACATCAGGGGCCACCTAGATCCACTGAATCAAAACCTGTGGGGGCATGGCTCTAGGTTCTATGTTTTTTGTTTTTTGTTTGCTTAGTGAGGTATAACTGGTGTAGAATAAACTGCACATATTTAAAGTGTACAGTTTAATGTGTGTATATAACTGTGAAATATTCTACATAATACTCCCTACAACATACATGAAGGAATCTCAGAGAATGACAAAGCAAGGAAGCCAGTGAGGCCAGGCTCTTTCATGATACATTGCACCCCCCACCCCCAAATGTTTCCTGTGACCCTCCCTTCCCCAGAAACTACCAATCTATTTTCTGGAATTATAGATTAGTTTGTATTTCCTAGAATTTTATAAAGTGGAGTCCTAGAGTGTATACCATCTATTGTCAGGCTTCTTTCAGTCAGCAGAATTGAGGTTTACTCATGCTGCCTGTATCAGTTCTTGACTGCGCGTTATGGCTGGGTAATGCTTCACTGTGCACACTTTGTTTATCCATTCTTCTGTTGATAGACACTGAGTTGTTTCTGGCTTGAATTTATTACAGAAGAAGTTGCAATGGACCATGGTGTGCAGGTCTTTGTGCCACTTCACCCAGTTCTCCTCATTGATCTTTAGTTATCCACGTATTTTCCTTTTTTAGATTTGTAAAAAAATTATATTCACTTAAAAATTTTATATCTGCTTTAGGACCGGGGATTTAGCTCAGTTGTTCTGCCTCCTGCCCCGCATGCACAAGGACCAGACGGAGTTTGATCCCTGGTACAAAAAATAAAACAAAACAAAAAACCCCAAAATTTTATATCTGCTTTATATTTTTGTAGTCAGACTTGAGGATCAAAGCTTTCTTTATAAAAAGAGAATTCAGATTGCATCTTCATTGTCTATGCTCAGAAACCATTTAAATAGTTCTTTGAAACTTTGAAGAAACTCACTGTGGACACAGCTTCAAAGTAGTGTTTTTGACTACTTTCTGAACATTTTTCTACAGTTATTAATCTATATTTTTCTCTTATTGAGATTATTTTCCCATTTATATTTACCCATTTCAAGGCAGTGTTATGATTATTTTGTCTCTATCCATGGTTGTAAACTCCTTCCTCTTTACTTATATTGTGCCTTGATGTTGTCACTTTTTTCTCTTTGATTTCTCAAACTATGGTGATTTTAATATTCTTTGGGGGAAGTTAAACATGCTAAACTTCCCAAATGCTCTGAAAGGTTCAGTGTCCTAAAGAACTTTGTTTCACTCTGAGGAATGCTAAGAAACTGCTCTATGAGGAAAGCTAACAGGCACACAGTAGTTATAAGTTCTTTTAGATGAAAATGTCAGGACCTCAGTATGGTGCTGCTTGGACTTATCTATGTATTTTAGATTTTCTGTATCTTTTTGCCCAAAATGTAGTTCCTTTGGCTGGAGCTACACCCCAATTCTTATGTAAGTTCTTTATCTTTTTGTGTACTGTTATGGTTTAGATCTAAAATGTCCCCACAGGGCCGAGGATTTAGCTCAGTGGTTGTGCCACCTGCCTTGAAAGCACAAGGACCTGAGTTCGATCCCTGGTACAAAAAAAAAAAAATGCCCCCAAAGTCTCAAGTGTGTGAAAGGCGACTGGACCATGGGGTGTGATGTTCATCAGTTGGTTTATCCATGGATGAGTTCAAAGCTGAATGTGCTGTTAGGAGGAGGAGCGGGCTGGCTGGAGAAGGGTACATGCTGGTCCTGGCTCCTGCCTTCCTTCTCTGCTTCCTGGCTGCCATGGTTTGAACAGCTTTCCTTCCTCCACCACGCCTTTTCTGTCTTGGAGCCTGCTGACCGTGGACTGAAATTGTGAGCCCAAATAAACCTTTCCTCCTTTAAGTTGTAGGTGTTGGGTATTTTGTCCCAGCAGCAGGAAAGTGACTGATACATGTCCTTTTTTATTGTTGTTCATGGGTTTGATTCTCTGGACACTGCTCAAACCAAAGTCACTAGTTCCTTGAATCTTTGAAATAAGTGCCTTTGGTCTTTATTTTTTTAGATGTTAAGAGTTTTTTTTCCCCACTTTGTCTTGACAGTTTAGACTGACTTTGCCTTTGGCCTCAAACTTCCTAGTCAGCCTGTCTTGATTCAAAAAGAACATTACTGGGCCAGAGATTTAGCTCAGTGGCACCTCACCTGCCTTGCAAGCACAAGGACCTGAGTTTGATCCCCGGTACCAAAAAAACCCAGAACATTACTCAGCTACTGATGGGTTATATTGTCAATAACACAGAATCAATGATGCATTTAGAAACTATTTAGGACATGATCTTGTCAGACAGGAAAACAGTAGCAACAGTATCATTCTGGAAAATACCACTATAAAACATGGCACCTTACCTTTAAATGTATCTAATGAGCCATTGCCCATATGTTCTATTGTTACATAATGGCATATACATATTAGTGTACATATGTGTATGCCATGTACATGTATACATGTACATAAAATTGTATATATGTTCCTCACCTTAGTTTTGGTTTAAAATAAATCCTGAAGCCAGGTATGGTGGCATACACCTGTAACCCCATCACTCTGGGAAACTGAGGCAGGGGGATTGCATATTTGAGCCTAGCCTGGACAGTTTAGCAACTTAGTGGGACCCTGTCTAAAAAAACCCCAATAAAATAAAAAAGTAAAGGATTAGGGATGTAACTCAGTGCAAAGGCCTTGGGTTCAATCCTCAGTACAGGAAAAAAAAATCCTAACATTAATTTGGAGCAATATAATTAAGTTCAAGAAAGGGCTTTCTTTAAAAATTCAGAAGTGCAGTTATCATCTCTACTAGTAAGCTATTATAATACATATTTTATGTTAGGAATATTCAGAATATCAATATATTTAGTATATTTTAACTCAATATAAGATAAATACAAAATAATGCTTTATGTTTTTTTGGGTTTTTTTTGTTTTTTTGGTACCGGGGATCGAGCTCGGGACCTTCAGCTTTCGAGGCAGGCGCCAGAACCACTGAGCTAAATCCCCGGCCCACAAAGTAATGCTTTAAACCTTCAAACTGGAAGTCTGAAGTCACAATGGTAGTTACTTTTTTGATTTCTTATACTGTTTTAGATGTGGATGTAACAATAACTTCTTCAAATTCTGAATGAAAATCAAATGTCAGGGGTGTAACCAAAGTCTTTCCTCATTCTGAAGCTTGCTTTTCTTTGCTCTTTTCCAAGAGTATTTTTGCTTGCATATCCAGGACATCTAACTTCTCTGACTTTTTCTGCCACTGTCTGTCAGTAAATTCTTTCAAATTTGGAAGGGCGGCACGGCATCCTCCTGGAGAACACGACTCTGGAGTCAGACTGCCTGGTTTGGATCCTTAGCTCTGCCACATAGCAGCTGTGGGACTGTGGCTAGTAGCTTCCTGTGCTGCCCACCAGTTAGGGACAAGGTGTGAGATTTCTGTCCTATGGCAAGGTGCTTGTTCTCTGGCTACATACTGTTTCTGTTTTTCTCTACCGCCTTGCCATCAGTGGTGGTCTCCATACATCTGATTGCCTACTTGTTTCTATCTTGATATATTTTGTCCATTATCCCCACACTAAATTGCTTTGGCTTCTTCCTCATCCCTCCGATATTGATCCCTTGGAGCTGTCTTTCTTTTCTTTTTTTTCTTTTTGGTACCAGGGATTGAACTCGGGACCTTGTGGTTGCCAGGCAGGCGGCACCACTGAGCTAAATCCCTGGCCCCGGAGCTGTCTTTCTTAAACAGGTCCCGATCATGTCCAGCTGTAGCTCACAGCCTTGGCCTGCTCCTCTTACCTCATCCCACATCTAAGTAGGATCTGAAGATTACAACTTAATTTGGAGATATCTCTGAATATACATTTTAGGGCCAGACATTCCCATTTATCTGTAATGACTGATGTACTTCATGATGATTTTCTGCAAATCCAGGAGGAAGACCTCCAGAGAAACGAAGGCTGCCCACATCTTCATCTCCATCTTCTTCTCCAAGTTCTAATTGCCAGCTTTTTCAATGCCTGCAGCTCCCCAATCAAGCCAGATCTACTTTTGTTTTCCATTTTTGTTTGCTTTTTTTTTTTGGTACTGGGGATCGAACTCAGGACCTTGTGCTTGCGAGGCAGGCAGTGGCACCACTGAGCTAAATTCCCAGCCCTTTTGTTTGCTTTTTTGAGACAGGGTCTCGCTATGCAATCCAGACTGGCCTTGAACTCTCAACAATCCTCCTGGCTTCACCTCCCAAGTGCTAGAATTCCAGGCATGTACCACACCTGCCTTTATCATCCATGTTTTTATGCCTTTGGTTTCTAGTTCCCTAAGTTTTGAATACATCTCTTGTTTTCCTTATCCAAATTTTAAAGTTTCTTCAAAGTTTAATCAAAATGTTATCTCCTAGCCAGGCATGGTGATGCTTGCTTATAATTCCAGCATTCTGGGGGGCTGAGGCAGGGGGATCTCAAGTTTGAGCCTAGCCTGGACAATTTAGGAATTTGTGAGAGCCTGTCTCAAAATTTAAAAATAAAAAGAAAAGATTGGGGAATGTAGGTCAGTGCAAAGGCCCTGAGTATCCCCAGAATTCCTCTCTCCCACCAAAAAGCTATCTCCTCTTCTTTGGAGTAACTGGTCCACTACCTTTATGCTGAAAAAGTCATTTCTTCCTAAGTATTTCTATAGCAAGTTTTTTATTTTTTAAATATGGAATGCTTCATGAATTTGCATGTCATCCTCATGCAGGGCCATGCTAATCTTCTCTATGTTGTTCCAATTTTAGTACACGTGCTGCCAAAGTGACACTACAGCAAGTTTATTATATTTTACTTATTTACTTGGTTCTGAAGATTGAATCTAAGACCTTATACATGCTAAGCACATGCTGTATGACTCAGCTACATCCCAGCCAGTTTTATTATATTTTTAATAATTTTTTTTATCCCACCCACCCCCTCAACCTCCTTCCCTCCCTATTTATTTATTAAAAAAAATTTTTTTTTTTGATACTGGAGATCGAACTCAGGACCTTGCGCTTACGAGGCAGGCAGTGGAACCACTGATCTAAATCCCTGGCCCTGTTTATTTATTTTTGAGACAGGCTCTCACTATGTAGTTCAGGCTGGCCTTGAACTCACAGCCATTCTCCTTCTCAGTCACCTAAGTCCTGGGATGAGAGGTGTGTGCCACCACACCTGACTATGTGTTAAACATAGTAGTTTCAGTCTGCCTTTTATAATAGTTGTTTGCTCATCTAGGTATCAGTTTCCTAGGTCAGTCACTTGGCACAAAGTAGGAATGATATCATATTGTACCCTAAGGAACGAAGGGGGGCCTTAAAGGAGGAGACCAGGTAATAGAATGAAACAGTACAGAGAGAACATCTTAGAGTTTGTGTAAGATGGTTGGTAAAGCCTTGTTTTTGTCCAAGATGGGTTAGGAAATATACTTCTTCTCATTTAGGGAATCTAATTGAATGGTATTTTGATAGGATTTTGAGGCTGCATCATGGGTCTGGGATAAAGATAGCCCTTAGTTAATAAAATACTGGAATGTCTCAGATATTTTGATGGTTTTGACCAAATGTATGGGATATTGTGAATCACAAAGAGGTACACAGTACATCTCAGAGGCTCGAAATTTAGCTCAGTGGTTCTGCTGCTTGCCTTGCAAGCGCAAGGTCCTGAGTTCGATCCCCAGTACCAAAAAAACCCCAAAAAACTCATACACAGTACATCTCAGGCAGTGTTCTAAGGACTGCATATGTAAAAATGCATTTGCTTCTCGTGGCAACCCACTGAGGTCAGTTCCGTTAATACTCCTATTTTGTAGTTAGGTTAACTAAGGTAGAGAGAGGTTAAGTTATTTCCTCAAGACACACATCTGGTAAGTCCGGCTCTAGAGTCTGTGCTCTTGTCTCTATTATACTGCTTTTCTGTCAAACATAGAATGTTTCAGAAAAATTGGGCAAGTTAGAAAGATTTCTTTTTTATGATTCCTATAGTCATGTCATCTTTTTGTTTTATTTCTTTAGGTTCCCTTGCCAGTTCTATTTTTGACCCGCTCAAATCTCTGGTGGGTGCTTCAGGAGGAGTCTATGCCTTGATGGGAGGCTATTTTATGAATGTCCTAGTGGTAAGAACTTTGGGAATGGACTCTATGAACTTTGTTATTTTCCCAAGGCTGGGAACTGCACGCACTAGGTGACTGCTCCACCCCCAGGCCCTTTGTCCCAAAAGAAAAACTGTTGTTTGGTTCAGAGAATCTTCACTTATCCATATTTACTGAGCACTAATATTCTTTATGAGGATCATGGCTACCAAAGTTACCGTTTGTATTTTATATTCTCATCTCAAAAGTAATGACTAATAAAACTCAGTTAATAAAAGAAAATTAAGATCCCCAGTATAGTATTCAATTAACAGATCTATCTATCTATCTATCTATCTACCTACCTATCTGGTATGACAAAAAATGTAGTATTTAAAAATTTAAAAAAAATTATGGTAAAAATCATATTGCCATTAACCCCTTAAAAACACTCCCCCTCATTTTGAACGCACTTATTCCATCCTTCTTGCCACTTTCTGAAGCCATTTTGGAAGTCCTCTTTCATGTCTTTAGTTGTTCTGTGTGACTTCCTTGATGCCTGAATTGATTCAAAACATTTACCTCTCATGGTCATTTTGATTTGAGAGAAGACCTAGAAATTGCATGGTGCCAGATATGGTGAATAAGGTGGATGAAAACATACTATAATGTTTTTGAAGGAAATTGCAGTAAATGGTTGATCAACGAGGGGTGATCATAAGATATGGTGAATATTTAAAGTAAAAAATTTATTACAGTAAAATTCCCAAATACTCAAAATAGTTCCCCTGGCTTTGAACACACTTGTCACATTATTCCTGGCAATGTGTCTTTTCCTGAAATAAGGTTTTTAAAAATTTAAACACTCACCATATCTCTCAATCACCCCTGTATCTATATCTACCTATCTAATGTATATTTATATATAAAATCTCCCCCCAGACATTTCCTATATGTGTTCAAGATCCTACTAATAGTAATAGTACAGGATGTCCTCCTCTGTACAGCCTGCATCCTAACAGCCTAGTAAGCTGCCCGTCTTCCCACGTCAGTACACAGACTTCCCTCTCAGTCTTTTCAGGTGCTTGATAGCATCCTCTGTATAGCTGCATCATGACTTACTTAAGAAATCTCACTGAAAAATAATGTGGGGTAAATTTAACTTTTCATATTTAGACATAATGCTGTAAAGTGTTCTTTTACATTTATCTCCTTGCATTTGTGCATTTTTTTGTAGGATAAATTTCTAGAAGTGGATTTACTGGATGAAGCTTTTAATTTCAATATCCAAATGGCAAATTGCCTTCTGAGGTTGGCAGATCATTTTTTTGGTACTGGGGATTGAACTCAGGACCTTGCACTTGCGAGGCAGGTGCGATGCCACTGAGTTAAATCCCTGGTCCTTGGCATGTAATTTTTATGCTCTCATGATCGTGAAAGTGCCAAAAGTCTTTTGGAAACAGACTAAAATCTTGATTTGTTCTCAATCCTATGATCATTTAGGTATATTTAAAAATATTCTAGGACGACAAATATCAAGCAATTATAAAATTGTTCCAAATATAGAAGTCATTTAGAAAGATATTTTTCAAACTTTGGATTGCAAACCATTAGTGGTTGTGAACTCAGTTTGTCTTGTGACCCAAAATTAAACAAAAAGAAAAAAAAAATCAGTGTGTATCACATGCACTAAGGGTAAGTACTGTTTGATTTATGTGTGTACTGAGTTATGTAAATTATTTCTTAACTGTAGGTCATGTTTATGACAGTTTGAAAATAACTGATTTAAAATAAACACTCCTATTTCAGCACTTCTACTCCCTGGGAAGAGCTAATAATTTGGAAGGGAAGGGAGGAGCAGCTCAATAAATTATAGCGGAGGTGTCTGGCTCAGCAGTTCGCTAGTGACACACTGGGCTCCTGCCAGCTGGAGTGAGAATGTTCAAAGCTAGAACCAAACAATGTTTTTTAATCAACATTTTAATTTCTTCTGAAATTATCTTTTTTCTTTTTTTGGTACTGGGGTGTAGGGAGCAGGGGAAGGGGACGTTACCAGAACCTCTGCAGTAAGTCCTAGTCTCCTGTGAGCCACGGCAGCACACAGCGAATTACAGGAAAGGTAGACAAATG